ACATTATAGTTTAGGAGTTGTTTTGGTACAGAAAAACGTTCAATTAAGCTTAATATGGCGGAGGTGGATAGGAAGCTAGGAAGCTAGGAGCATTATCAGACCCCTTGTGAAGAATCCCTTGCAAAGTCAATGACCCACTATATTTCAATATATCATCCCAATCACGCATAACCGAAAAAGGAAACTCAATTTGATAGGCGTTCACAAATAGGAGAATTGCGATATCAAATCTAGACTTGAGCAATACACTTGAAGCCTAAACCTATTCACGGTAAACGAATCAGAGTATGCATGTATGTAACGTAGTCTCTGGATGGGACAGTGAACTAAAAAGCCATCGGAGAAGATGTCATGCTTACCTTTTTACGATACCGAGTCAATGATACTCATCAATGTGCATCTACTATGTAGGTAGTAGAAGAATCAGACCATTTCTGAGTCATTGGTAAGAGATAAAGAAACCACGATACCAAAAATCTCTTCCGATGTGTAAAATTAGAAAATCCAAGATATTTATTGATCGGTCCGGGATTCATGATACCTTCAAGGGTAGGGTTGCATTTACCCGGACACCACATGTAAACCAGACACGACCGAATTAATCCTTGAAAATTCGAGAACACCATCTTCTTGTATGCCTAGTCTTCGTGTATGCACTTCTTATCAGAGACCTTCCAACACTTATGAAAGTGTAGATGAGTGTATAAAATTGTATATTTTATTATCCGCTGGGTGGCTTCAGTTACCGATTACTCCTCTATCTTCCCATTTGTATCATCCCAAAATTCGTTCCATGCAATATTAAAACCAAATTAAGCATCTGTCTTATCTATCTCACTTCTCCTATCTTGCTTACTTGAAATATACTATCTCTTTTGATTTCGTTCTCAGCTCGGACTTCCGCAAGTCCCCTGCGAATACATTTTGACACTCTTAACAGTCATTCCTCTGTCTTCGGGCGCCCCCCACGTTGGGCCCCACTGACTTGAAGCGTTCCAGAACTCAGCTGGGGCCGTCAGACTTGCATCTCCCCATGGTTTGTTGCCGACCTTATCACTATTACTAACGTTAGCATTCATTGTCCCTTGGAGGCGCGCGCAAATAGGCAACTCACGGAAAGTATCCATTGGTACCTCCTACTGCCACGCTATCCTAATGTTAGCAAAATTATCACAATCTCATTTCATGCTCAAGGTCATCTTACTTCAGAATTAGATAGAAGGTCTGGTCAAATGGAGTGGCTGGATTCCCCGTTTGGCTCCACGGATCATGTAGCGCCGAATTATTCACAATTGTCTTACCGAATTCTCCTCTGTTCCACATGCTGTTATATCCCTTACTGAAAGAGAGGTAGAATACTTGCTACACCAAAATCAGTTCTTGATAGGCCAGAAGGCGAGAATGACTAGTTTTATGGAGATCATACCAAGAGACGACTATTGATATAGGTGAAGATATAGTCTTCACCCCATTCAAGGCCGTATGTATAATAGCTTTCACTATAGTCGGTTCGTCGGATATTGTGTTTTCCATCGGTCTTCCAGAAGGCGTCTACTTGAGGAATTGGGCCCCAATGCTTTGGTCATTGTCAGCTCAAGTCTGAGTTCAAGCTAGAAATATCATACCAAAGCAGAAATAATGCTGTCTCGACCTCCATCGTATGTAGCCCCATCATTACCTTTGCTTTCGGCGAGATCTATCTCACCACTTGCAGGCCAAGGTCCGTAGACAGAATCTTCTGGCATCATCCTGTTCAAAGTTAGCAGCTTCCATTACAAGGGAGGCTGGAAATCTACCATATCGCTGGCCACAACCAATCACCCTTTGGCATCTTTGCAACGACTTCAATTTTGCCATACTTGATAGTTTTCTTACCCTTAGTAGACAACCTTGCGCTTCTAACTGGATTTATAATGGTACCGGCGGTAATATTGCTGTACATAGAACACGACGAGCCCGCATCATCAGATGTACACACGCCATCAGGCCTGTTGTCGGTAGTCAAGTTTAATGTATAACCGTTTAAAATCTGAGCAGGTGTAATATTTGTTGAATTGACTGTCAATGTTGGGACGATATGAAGTCCTTCAGCATCAGTGTAAGCGTTTTGAGGATCGTTTGTGGTCCATTCAAAGGATCCAGTACTAGTTGTATCAGCTAACAGACCTTTCAAAGTAATTTAGTGATCTGAACTTACCCAAAGCCGCCTCGTTGAATCTCATAACTCCATATACTGGGGTCTATGTTGTGAAAATCATCCTCAAACATAAGACAGTATGAGTTGTTTGGAACTGATATAAATCCAATGTAGCACATGATGCCTCCAAGCCCAAAGCCAATGACAATACTTGCCCAAAAAATTATTGAATCCCAAGTTCGTCCAGACCATTTCTTGCGTTTGCCCTCTGTAGCAACCTTTTCTAGCCATGGCTTTTCATAGCTTTTTTGAAGTCAGTTCTTGCTAGTTTGGTATAGAGGTCCAAACTTACTCTCCAATAAGCCTGGCACTTTTAAAAAGGCGTTGTCTTGGAGGTACGATATCTAGACCATCTTCAACGATCAGCAATTTCGTTAATATCAAGAGTGCGATTTCTATACCTGAAATCGAAGACGCTTCCTCTGGTGATGAGAATCGGTTACTGGGTGTACTTGTATGGGAGGACTCGTGATTTGGTGTTCCTGGTTGAGAGAAAAGTTGAGGTGTTTCAGGGGCAGAAACTCGTTGGGTTTGAGGATCTTGTGCAGTCAGGGATGTACTGTATGTTGACATCTTGAGGGTTCTCTACTCTCTGCAACTTTGAAAGATTGGGATAAGCTGCTGGATAACTTATCAAAATATCACAATCTCAATCTGGACGGTTGACTTTTCCTATTTACCCACGCAGTTGCCCGAAATTCCCCACGATATATTTATGGTACGGTCGAAAATATTTCTAAGATCAGAGAAATCTCTGATAAATAAGCTAAAATCAATCGATCCATTTCAATAATGGTATTGTTGAATACCGCATGGGCGGCAGAGTACCTTGTATCTGCATCAATCCCTGAGGGTATGGACGTTTTCTGCCAGCCTCATAAGAACAAATGTGAGGAGTAAGCAAAATGATGCCCTAGTAAATCTGCATGTGCTGGTAATATCGCCGATAGTGGGAATATACGCGATATCGAGAAGATCAATATGATCATGATCACAGAGTTACAGACAGGAATGTTCAGCTATGTTCAATCAAGTAGCTTAGCATCTGTCGGTATCCAGTGGCTGTGAACCATTTCCAACTAGTGCTTGGAGGACTTGGAGGCTTCTTAAACGAAAGCCAAAGGCGGATGTAACCACAAAATTTTAAAGGCATCAATCCACGATAATGATTGAATTGCCCGAGCCACTAGGCCTGAAAACAGACGATGCGATGTCTTATATGGGATGATGGTACTGTAACACTTTACAAGAATGCATGTGAATATCGATATTGGATACGAGAGTTCAGGAACCTGCAGATAAGTCTCATCTTTGTGGTAATAGATATGTATTCGATTGGACGGAAGACGAAAGGTTGAAATCAGAGAAAAATGAAGATGGTGTTGAGAGAAAAGTCAAAACAAGAAGCTCAATTTAAAATTCGAAACAACAGTTCAGATGATCCAGAAGGAAAGGTGCATGTTGGGGTATCTCGTTTGTATTACCGAGAAAATGAAGTGGTTGAGATATCGGGATATCAAAGTGATCAACGTTAAAAATTCCTAACAAGAGTTCAGAGTGGAAAACGTTGAATTGTTTAATTCCTTATATGAGTCGTACAAATTACGAATTTGTCGGTCAACGAACAACAAGAACTACAGTGTTATCTGTACCACTGAGTGACATGCAGCAATTTGGAGAGGGATGGGTAGCGGACAGGGTATTTTAGCGATTGATTTAGGGTAGTAAGCCTATAGTGGGTCTGTAACCCCTGAAAGCTTATAGTGATATATCACTCCGAGGTCTGCACCTAAATTCGTTATTAGTATTGAAAAGTTCAGGAACTACCCTGCCGTACCAAGGGGCCAAGGGCTGACAGCATTTGAGCCCGTCTAGTCTTATGGGGAAATGGAGAGTTCCATTCTAGCTCACTTATATTGCGTTACTATGAGCCTCGATTTGGCCAATCACGTCAAAGCAAACGCCGGATGAGAATATTTGGACACTTTGGTGGTCGATGTTTTGCTGCTCTATCCCTTGTATCTTTCCAATTTCCCCAAGATCTCAAAGGGATTTCCGATCAATGAGAAACCTATCAATTTCCGTATCCTGGCCTATTTGCGAGAATCTGGATAAAACAGCAATGTACAACACTCCCCTGGTCAATAATAGTCTCTCAATACTTCCAAGCTTTGTACTGTTGAACCATTCAACGGAAAAGCTTTCCGTAAAGACTTATCTATTCCATTAAAACTCCCAGAGATAGTACCCGTCCCTAAGCTTCCTACCTTATCGTCGGACCATAATGCTATTCTTAGGTCAATATTCTGCATCCTGCATGCGTGGAGATATAGATGAAGCCACAACTTTCGTCCAAAGACACTATACATCTGTAAATTTGATCCAATAGTATAGGCTTCCCGCAGGAGATGTGGCTACTGCCTGCTGTACCATCGAGGCTATAAGCCACGAGCTCGATATCTTATATGGAGTATTTGTGCCAAATTCGTGTTTTCCTTCCCGGTAACTCGTTGAAACTACCCTAAATTTCTATCATCCGTCGCTCTCACTCAGCTAGCTCAAACAATCTATAGACAGAAAGTTCGTGGTCTTCGATTTCCTCCTACAGCCGCCATAACGAATGTGTTGGCAAGTGTAATATTGACTTCCGATTTTCGACAAATCCCGCCAACTGCCTTTGATCTTATCCGCGTATCAAATACTGATAATCTCAGGTTCCCACTCTTTCAATCTAGACTTGCAGCTCCTCAATTTTTGGTTCAAGTTGATATTAGTTCTTTCCCGGCCTCAAGTCCATAACATCATGTCCGAAGAATTCAACTTTCAACAGCGCTCTGGTGAGCAGCTGCCAAATCTTCCAGATACACGCCCTATGATGGCAGAGCGACATCAGAGCGTCCCAGTGCCATCAGCGTTCCGCCCAGAAAGTTTGGCGCCAGCCTCGCGACCCCATAGCATCATGAGTACAGGGTCTGCAGGAAGCCGCGATCGTCATACTCTGGTACGTTTTTCGGTTACATAGTTTACTATATATTCTCTTCCCCCGAAAAACTTGAATCCATTCCTAGCTTTCGCCTGATGATTGTTTATAGGTTGCAAAATATCTTCAAAGACGATGCAGTGCCGCAAAATGGCTTCAACCTATCGAGGAGGAGGATGGCACCATCAAAGAATCGTCGTGGGTGGGTGTTGCTATGCGCCTTCCGGATGGTAGCTACTACACTGAGCCACCAAACGTTGATAACAACTTTTATACTGTGATGCAATATCTTGGTTGCAAAGTTGCCTTCACAATGTCTTCAGATATCACCGCAGCATTGATGGACCAAATTGGCCCTTTCCAAACAGAAGTTCAAGTACATCCTCGGGGAATTAGACTTCCAATCGTACAAAATCTTTCTGAACTTGCATATGGAGGTACTGGAGTATCAAAAAAGTCGTACTTGTGTGTTTTGAGAGAAGAGAGGCTTGTTCTCATTTGGAACGAGTCAGTTGAAAGTATTATGACACATGGCGCAGATGTCGAAGGTATCCTCGTTGGCTTGGTAAGTCAAATCAATCCGAAATAATCCGAACCATACTTACGAAAAACAAAATAGATCTGGGGATCTCACATTGGCACCATGACAGCTACTTCTCCATACGCATCCATGACTCCGCCTATTGGACAAACGCCAGGTCAAACTCCCGGACGAACACCATCGGCCATTAGTGAGGATCCTGAATTCAATGAGAAAATGAACATTGTTCAAGCCGCGATTGAGCGTGAAGAAAACAAAGACACAATTTTCAATCCAGATATCGAGGCCGCGGCACCACCAGAAAGACCCTTTCTATTATTACACGCTGGTGTCATTGGATTTGCCATGACTTTGGTGGTATTCGTAGAGATGCTTTGTGCATCGCGACTGATAACAGAATATCAATGGGATGGCGGGGTGCTCCGGTTTGCACTCGTCGCCGTTATTCCATTCTTCGTGTCCTTTTCACTGGTAAGACATTTTCAGCCACTTCGTGCGTGGCGTAAGCCTCAAGTAGAACCTTGGAACGGGAAAACTATCGATAATTCTCCGGACTTAGCTAACATGTTTCTCCGTCAGTTTTTCATGATTGTCATTGCGGGAAGTCTATTTCAATTATTTGGACCCTTGACATATGTTCGAAAGAATTCTCAGTTCTATTCGGCCAAGCCACCCAAGAGGGGTCGTTACCCAGACTTAGAGCTGCCACACATTACCATTCAAATGCCAGTATATAAGGAAGGATTAAAAGGGTATGAAGCCACTAGGATCTTGTTATAAAACAGCTGACTGATCGAGATAGTGTTATTATTCCTACTGTCACCAGCATACTGGCTGCTATTCGGTACTATGAAGCGCAAGGAGGCTCTGCTTCAATTTACGTTAACGAGGATGGAATACAAGCTGTTGACCCCGAGCTATGTGAAGCTCGAAAGACATTTTATGAGTTGAACAATATCGGCTACTGCTCGCGGCCGAAACATACCCACAGCAAAAAGAAATGGTATCAGGGTAAGAAGGTACAAGATAACCCTGAAGGTTTCCAACGAAAGGGCCAATTCAAGAAAGCATCGAACATGAACTACTGTCTCAGTTTCTCCATTCGTGTTGAAGACGAGTTACTGAGACTTATTGCTGAAAAGTCTGCAGCGGAAGATAGACCCCAAGGTGATATCACACCAGACGAGGAAGATGTGCTTTACAAGCAGGCTCTAGCAACTTGTCTTGAGCAAGATGAGGGGCGCACTATGGCTGGAGGTAATGTTCGTATCGGTGATATTATTTTGATTATTGATAGCGACACTCGAGTGCCTGAAGACTGCCTTTTGTTAGGCGCATTAGAAATGCATGAAAGTCCTCAAGTGGCTATTCTACAACATGCCTCGGGTGTCATGCAGGTTGCTAATAATCCTTTCGAAAACGGAAGCAAGTATTCCTGGTAGAAATCATTAGAAACAATACTAACAGTCGACAGTTACTTACTTTACAAACCTCATCTACATGTCTATTACCTTCGCAGTAGGAAACGGCGATTGTGCTCCATTTGTTGGCCACAATGCCTTTCTAAGATGGAAAGCTGTACAGAGCGTAGCTTATGAAGAAGATCGACAACTAAAGTTCTGGTCTGACGGTATGTCATCTCGATACGCCGCCTGTACTATCAATCTTCTAACGTCTTGCTAGATCACGTCTCCGAGGACTTTGACATGAGTCTACGACTTCAAATGGCCAAATTTATCGTGAGACTGGCAACTTATCACGAGGGTGGTTTCAAAGAAGGTGTTTCCCTTACTGTTTATGACGAACTTGCTCGCTGGGAGAAATATGCGTATGGATGCAACGAATTAGTTTTCAACCCCATCTACAAGTGGTGGCGAGGCCCATTCACGAAACTCTTCATGAGATTTCTCTGGAGTGACATCAAGCTCACCTCCAAAATTACCATTCTAGCCTACATCGGAACCTGTAAGTATTGAGAGCCTTGGAAGTCATTCAAAAGCTAAATATTCGACAGACTACGCAATTGCCTGTGCCATTCCACTTACCTTAGCAAACTACATAATGGTCGGCTGGTTCAATGACTCACTAGATCAATTCTACCTCACCTCCTGGAAAATCTTTGTCGGCATGGCCGTAATCTTCAACGTCCTTTCTCCCCTCGCCTTCGCTATGTTACGCCATCGTCTCGGCGAAAAAGTCTTCGTCTCCTCCATAGTTGAGACCGCAAAATGGACACCCATGTTTGTTCTCTTCTTCGGTGGCATATCTTTCCATCTTTTAACTGCCATCCTATGCCATTTCTTCAGCATCAAAATGGAATGGACGGCTACCGCCAAGGAAGTTGAAGCTGGTGGCTTTAGAATCGGTTTAGATAAAATCTTTCGTGATTTCAAGTGGATGTATTTAATTATGATCCCGGTATTGGGAGGAATGGTGTATCTGGGAGCCTTTGCACCTCGTGGCTTCGAAATAACGGATTTCACAGCCATCGTACCCCTTTCGAATCAAGTCGCATGCCATATTCTGCTTCCTGTAAGTGTCTCTCTCTTCGCTATGAATATAACTTAGGCGACACTGTAACTAACAGCTTCTCAGTTTGCGCTAGGACTTTTCTAGATTTCTAGATACATTTTATTTCCAATTCGATATCCGTACGTATATCATTGTATATAACATCCCAACTATAATGCACATAATAGTTGCACTTCTTAGTCCAAAGGATTTTTCAGAGATCCTTGGCATCAGAACGCGAACCTAGATCGGACGAAAAAGACGGCGTTTGATTTCTTCACAGGCGCATTCATCTCCTGAAGCATCACTTTTATCATTTCCTTGGAAGATGGTACAAGAGAATTATTGTCCAGGGTAGATTCAGCACTTGATTGTCAAATCTTTTTATTGTAATTCAATGAGAAGGCGTACTCTTTGAGATATGAAAGAACGCACATGATTAGGGACTGTTAGGTAGACCAAAGAATTTTGTTCAAGGGTTTTAGAAGAGCGGGATATAATAGCGCGTAGCGAAGAGTTACATTGGACCACGAAAGAAATGAGATGCAACGTATACAGTAATGATATAATTTATTTTTCAATCTCGAAAGAGAAATGTGCAGCACATTGGCAATTCGCACGATCCCATCGTAAATATCTTACATTTTGATTGATCATGTTTCACGGACTTGCATGACGTCCACGAAGTTTCGTGTGTAGTGGAATTCTAAGAGTGCCAGATTTCTTATCGCTGGCATCCCGCATTCCAGATTGAGCCCCTCCGTTAGCCTCGGCATCCGAGTAAATCCTAGAATTACCCAAGATATCATCCATCAACGGTGTCTTCGAATGTAAAGACTCCCCTGCATCTATGGTAATATTTTCCTCCAGAGGTCCATCAACTGACGTAGCATTTGTTACACCTTTATCCTCCGAAAGGGCGTTCAAAAGCTCTACATTTCGTTTCATTGCCTTTATTCTAGCTTTCTCTTGCCACTCGGCCTTAGCCAAACATAAATCAATCTTCTCCTCTACTAACCCCTTAATGTGGAATGCCAAGGCCTGACTGTGGAATACACCTGTGAATCTGTAACTCAACCAAAGATAAAGTGTGATATCTTTGTGTAGTTTTTCAATACTGCGCACATACGCTTCTCGTTGGTATTGCAAAGTAAAAGTGTCGGGATCATCATCCAAAAGAGCAAGACTAAGCTCAGGTATATTGAGAATGTGACCACCAGTGTTGTTGGATACACAACGAGCAAAGGCTTTTACTACCTTGACAACTCCAGGATCGCGCAAAGACACGGGAGCAGCGAGGAAAATGAGGCGGTTTCGAATGGAAAGATCAAATTCTTGAATGACATCTGCAATTGCAGCTTGCTCCTTGAGTTGACATAGGTGGAATTGGCTGCTTAAAGAACCGAGCTCGTGTAGTCGCAATATCACGTAACTGAATGGCGTATTCTTGGGGAAATACTCAGCGAAGCGTTCGATGACATTTGCAGGAGGAAAAATTCCGGCTGTTGTCATTTGTGCTGCATCTTTTAACATAGCGCTCGATAATATCACGTGGTCGTTCTTGTAGAATGTTGTGACCAGGCCAACAGGAGGCTCCGTTGGTTTAGCTGGAATGCCATCTGTGACATCGATTGGCCCTGCTTCGATGGCATCTCGAGCCGTCTTGTATCTCCCAGCCCGGCCGGCGATTTGTTTAATTTCAGAGAGAGGGAGAGTTATGAAATCTGTGCCATCATTCCTCTTGATAGACTCAAGAATGACACGTTTGATACTTAAATTTAAACCCATGCCAACGGCATTGCTGGCAGCCAGAAAATCGTAATTATTGTCTGGGTCATTGAACAAAGCGGCTTGTTGAGCACGGGTCTCGGGAGGTAATGATCCATAAACAATAGCGCATCGTTTGCCTTTATGATGTGCCTCGATTGCGTTTTTCATTGCATGGATTTTCATCCTCGAGAACAGGATGACAGCATCCCCTTTCTCTAATTTGCTGACCGGGTTCTCTTTGCTAGGTGGACCATCTCTCTCGGATTGTTTTGGTATGAGACTCTTTGCCATCACCTGCAATTTCCCAAGTCTTTCATAATTGTGTATGATTAACTTGTCGCCCATCATTGCACATAACTTTTTTATCAAATCAGTTGTTCGAACTTCGCCACAGAGATGTACTTCCTTGGCCTGAACTCCCAGTACTGCTTGAGTCCAAGCCCAGCCACGTTCTTCATCCCCAATCATCTGAATCTCATCGATTACTGCTACATCGACTTTCGAATTGAGAGGTACCATCTCCACGGTACAACTCTTCATGGTATCCTTGGCACCCTCTGGAATCCGACGCTCCTCCCCAGTGATAAGAGAGCATGGCTTTCCTTTGGCATTGAATCTCGTATAAACCTCGTGAGCTAGTAATCGTAGGGGCCCAGCATATATACCACTATTGGCTGCCTCAAGCCTTTGCAGAGCATGATATGTCTTCCCAGAATTCGTGGGTCCAACATGCAGGTGGAAAGTGCGTTGCATCGCTCGTGTCGCTGGGTACCATTCAATTGGATAACGAAAGTCTGCTAGCCTCTGTTGGCTTGCAATTTCTTCTTTCGAAAACTTATCGGAGAGTGTGAAATGGGTGAATGAATGTCTTATTTCGTCTTGTAAGCCCCTAATATCTCTTTTGATATATGCGTCCTTAAGTTTGCAGAAGATAGGATTTGAAGCTTTATTAATCTCGCCCAATACAGTTGCTCTTCTGCCAGCCGCTGCTATCACATCCTCAAAGTCTCGAAGCTTGATTAGCAGTTCCTCTTTACTTGTTGCGCCCCACCCTTCCATTTCTTTCTCCCCCACTGGTTTCTCATATATCGTTCCATTGATAAGTGTTTTTTTCAGTGTTTGGGCTTCTTGCACCATCTTCTCTTCAAACTTTCGAAATGCCGTCCTAGCCCGTTCCTCAGTGTTTTTCGGCGCCCCATTGTGATTTGATACTCCGTAAGACTCCGAAAGCTTCAAGTGCTAAACATATAGATGGTAAGCAGATGAGGATACCAAAGTAGCAGTGCCCATGTTATATACCTTCTTCCGGCGCGACGGTGGAACCGTCCTCGCCACAGGCCTTGACTGATGGAAACTTCTACCATTGGATGTGAGAGGTGAAGAGCTTGGCCATATCAAGCTGCGAAATGTACAGAACGTACATTGTCCAGACCTCCTGCTGATCAATGTCATTACCGCAGTAGATAGTGCAAAAGCATTCTGTTCTAGATAGAATAATAATTAGAGTTTTTGTTTTGGTGGTTGTGTTGGAAAGAAAACCTCGAGTGAAAGAATAATGAGTTGATTTTGTGATTAGGTAATTATCGAGATATGGCAAGTCTTAGCGTCGCCATCGTCATTGTACTTCCCCAATCCTGTTACCTTTATGTCAATCATATTCAATTGACTATCCAACTTTCACCATTATTCTCATCAACCTGCCAGTCCATATTCGCATGCAATTGTTGATATCATCTCCATCGACCGATACATCTTCCTTTTGTTAAATTGTATTCTGGAAATTGAAAATCTTCGGACTTCGTGGAAACCCTTCGAATTCTCAATTCAAATTCCAACCATGGCTTCCTCATCCACACCACCAACTCCTCTCCTTTAGTAAGTATATATGGGTCCTATAGATTCTGATTTTATCCTCTAACACAGGAAGTTCTTGTATCTCTCACAATACGACCATCCTCGCCGAGCATACCACGTCCGCCGCTTCGCAAACTTCATCCCTAGCCTCCCTTGTCCTTCCGAAAATCAAGCATGATGAGCCTCAAAAACTGACGTATACCCACAACAACTCCTTCATCCACTATATGGCATCTGCACCCTCTGAATACCCCGCTTCCGAATCTTCTGCAGGTGGACTTACATTTCTCGTGATTGCCGATGCCTCCCTCGGACGTCGCATACCATTTGGATTCCTTTTCGAGATCAAAAAGCGCTTCTTTGCATCTTTCCCACCTTCTACTACAGATTTCTCCGATCTAGGAGGTTACGGCGCTGGATCGTTCAATTCGGAACTCAAGAAATTGATGGTAGAATACGGAACAACCCAGGGTGGCAAAGAGGATGCGATCAAGAACGTACAAGGTGAAATTGACAATGTGCGAGGTATTATGAGTCAAAATATCGAAAGTCTGTTGGAAAGAGGCGAGAGAATCGATCTGCTCGTTGACAAAACGGATAGACTCGGTGGAAGCGCATCGGAATTTAGGATTAGGAGTAGAGGTTTGCGCAGACAGATGTGGTGGAAGAATGTGAAGTTGATGGTACTTTTGACTGTTGTTATCATCTTCTTGCTCTACTTGTTTGTTGGGTTTGGGTGCGGATTACCGGGATGGCAAAAGTGTGTTGGATAGGTGCATTGTAAAGAAAACGGCATAATGTGGATTGAGAAAGCTGTGCATTGAGTTCAAATTGACCGTTGGGGAGGCTAACATTAGGATTGGGGACTTTATACCACGGCGTGGAGTTTTGGCATGCGGGTTATGTTATTTTAGAATACATACTTTTATGGGTTCAAAAGACAAGCAATTGATATGTTATTTATGATTACGCTTGCCTAAGAAAACTAGAAACAACCTGGAAACACAATGATGAGTATGCTCGACCATCTGGGAAAACGAGGGGTCCCATATATACAATCCATGAATCCGAATCCCTATTCCAATCCGAACTCCAATATCTGAACCTGTTATAAACTCTCGATTATGTTCAATGCCCCCTCACAACTTTGCTTCTCTTTCTTGAACTTCACCACTTTCGTACACATACCCACTCGCAACTGGACTCCCCGCATTCCAATCCTCATATGCATAGTCATTTGCTTCCACGCCTGTAGGTGCTTTCCTCAACCTATCTGTGAAGAATACTGGATGACGTTTTGCAGAATCAAGAATGAATTTGCCATTTCTGTAAGTTACGTGTAGGAAGGGTGACATTGAATCTGTTGTTTGTAAAGGTGTTGTGTGGGGTGGTAGAGCTTCAATTTGGGTGCGGGGAGGAATTGGAGCTGGAGTGGGGAATGCGGGAGCGTGGAAGGATGGAGATGCGGTTGGGAAGGGAGATTCTGATTGATAGGTAGGTGGAGACGTTAATGTTGTGGGTGGATTGGGAGGTGGAGTTGAGGGCGTGGTGGGAATTGGGACCTTAGTGGGATGGATGATCGATTAGCTATATTCTTTATTTATTATATGCTGGAGAAGGGAAGCTCAGGAAAGGTACGAAACTCACGGTTGGTCGCTTTGGCTGTAATGAAGGAATCATCTCGTCGTTATTTGGAGAAGATGCCGAGGGAGCTGTATAAATCGGTTGTTCGTGCGATTGGGAGCTTCGAAGAGCAAACGCTGGATGCGGCGCGAATAGCTGAGAAATTGAATGGCGTAGGGCTGGCATTTCAGATAAGGTATTCGCGAGAAGGCTTCCTATCTGGGTTCTTTGTCCGGGAATCTGAAATTGTGAAGGGAAGGTATAGTGTGTGACAAGTTTTCAGTTGAATTGATGACAATGGCTAGGAAATGATAATATATTCTCAATTTGTTCCTATAGATTGTTTTACAAAAGTAGAACTTTTGTAGATTTTGATGTTCACAATTTCTAGAAAAAAATACCCAAAATGGGAGATTTATGAAGTGTGGGGTAAGGCTAGCTTCAACTCTAAATGGACGTCGGCCATAAGGGCCGAGGTATCAATGATGCATATTTGTGCATATGTTCATCTGCCGCGCATCCCGTCTGGCTCTGTAGGTAGGTATGTAAAGTAATTGTTTCATTTCTATTGGTTGTGTCATATTAGACGTTGACTTGTTGCTATATTCTAAATTATACGCCTCAAGTGACAGCTACATTGATCTGACTCTGCTTGCCAGAGATATCAAACCGTTCTAAGCTACGTGTGAAGAGATTCATACTTCATCTTGAAGTCTTGACAGTATTGATCGTATTTATTCCCGCTATCTGCGTAACGAGATGAAGGACTAGCTCGCCAATGGATCCGGAGCACTTACTAGGTGTCAAATTAGTAGTTCGGATTTCTACAAAGTATAATTTTCCCAGCGTGTCTAAACTTATAGCACCGGGGTTGCTTTCGAGTTAACCTCACAAAAAGAGCTACCAGTGAACATCGCGGGCGGATGTTCATAGGAATTCGGGACTTGAGACTCAGATGCTTGTCAATTTTTTGGAGGAGATGACTCGAATTTTCACGACCGCTTTAAAATAGACTTTGGGAAAATCAAAGTCTCCTATACTTGAAAATACATTGCACCACACATTTATTAGATATCGTACATTAAAATTGACGCATATTCACCATCAGTCATTAGGACAGTCGAACACACTTCTTCGAATGACCCCTTCTAAACTTCTAGTGGCAGGAAAGTCTTGACACTTTGATTTTGATTCCTTGGGGATCCATTATGGTCCATTCTGCTATGGAGGGAAGGAGTATCTACAATTGTGCACTGGCAAGGTTCTGTGAACTGAGTAGTAGAGAGCATTGAGACGTACGTGGCCGGAAGTGATAGTGGTATCAATCGCGAGTGATTGTAGATAGAACAGGTGATATTTCTGTGTCTTCGAACTTGATTTCAATCAAGGGAATTGCTAGAACCGTGAAAAGAATTGATTGGTTAGCAACTAGGTAGTGAATACAACTCAGAGATTCTTGGGAAAATCCAAATTTTCTCCCACAATTTTTACTGAACCATGCGTACCTTCAACTTGTCATTCACTCAATTTTTGTGTAATTTTTCGATAACCAAATGCCTTCAACCAAGTTTGTGTCTCACCACAAACAGCGCAAAAGATCCCATGTAAAAATGAAGCCATATACGTAGATGTATTGAACTTTGCTAAGCGCAAAATTCAATCTTAGCCCTAGAACACCACCCTCACTTTGCTCAACTTCACCCTTTGAGAGATCTCGAACTGTATAAATGATTTTAGTTCAGCTTTCAATCCCCCCCGTAGCCCTCCCTCGAAATTAGACCAACCACATCTCCTTTTACTTGCGAGGATTGATGTGATTTACGAGCTATGACCTTCGGAGTAGGCAAGACTGACCACAAAAGATAGGACGACAACTCCATTACCATTCATTACTGATATTCACCATCAAGTTACTGCGCCTCTCTAACAAAGGACATTTTTTCTCCCGTAACTTGAATTTGCAATTTCAATCTCGCATTCGGTTTCGCTTGTCCATCAAGGTACATCACTTTACGTCCATATAAGGACTCTCCCCTCCCCCTCCTTCGACTTTTTCCCTTCCCTCTTCAATCCATCACCATGCTTAAGAAACACATCTTTACTTCAATACTACAGTAATTGCTTGCAAGTAGATGCATCATGCATCTGTGGCGAAAGATCGATGCTATCCAGTGGTACGGGGAAGATTGTCAGCAAAGTGAAGACCCATTGCACGATACGACACTCATGGCAGTACAAACCGAGTCCTAATTTATACTCTCTCACGAGGGTCCTGGATGAAGCCGATGCTCATGTTTTTTGTTGGAGCTGTCTGATAATCTTCCCACTCATATCTACTTGCGCTCCATTGTCAGTTCAACCTGACATATATAGGAGCGAGAGTATGAGAGAGCCTGGATTTGGTCTAGGAGATGGTGGGTTCTGGAAGAACCTACTTGATAGGTTCATCTGGGGAATCGGCGGAAATCAACTTTCCTATGATGTGTGGGCTTGCGATCTTTGATGTGGCTTTGGTTTGTGCTCGTTGGCTTGGGGGACTGAGGAATATTGACAGGTAGCTGTTGATAATTGTGGCCTGCTGCGATTGGTTTTTACTTTCTGATCTATGATGATTAAATATAAGTCAACATGGTCCAGTTCTCATATCAATTCTTGATATGGGTTTTGAACCTTGACACATCAGGTTTTGTTCTGAGATCACTTCCTGAAAGTTTTTTTGTACGTTCTTGGACTTGGGCCTTTACTTGGGATTCCTTCTACGCAACAAAATCTTGTTACCTGTCCGCGTCCTTTTTCTCGTGTTCTTTTTTCTTCCTTCCGTTCGCTCTCTCGAATCGTGGCTTTTGGGAGAGAAGGCGGATGTTTTCACTTGATGGGAATTTTTACACAAAGGTAGATCTGGAACCATGTACTTGGCTAATACTTGAATTACCTTGTATTTGGAAATCAATGTGAAGTGATACCAAGGTTTCGATTATAAACATAGTGACTTGTAAGTTTACGACAATTGTAATCTAGCGATAGGCCGCCAGTGGTGACTGTTTGACCAAATCCGGGAGAACGAATGGATAAATAGCACTTTTTTCCTCCACATCCAATTCTTGAAGCGTAACTTTCCAATTGAGTTTCGTGATCATAACTTGTTTCTTAAGAATTTTAATCTCCACGCCAACTGCCAATCTGAATACATTCTAGTGAAGAACAAGCCGCAGCTATCAATCTTGCATTAAGCTGAGCGATAAACTTTGGATTTCTCATACGACCAAGCCAACGATTCAACATTTAGATAATTATAACTCTGTGCCGATCCTGGTCCTAGCGATAGAGATAAACAAGCTTTGGTACATGGCGCAGCCGGCGAAGAGAACCAACTAGAAATTCAGATTGCTTGGATTTGAGCGGAATATCCTACCCAATATCCGTCGACGTCTTACTTTCCGGATAAAGAAAGATGTTTGACAAACAAGTATACTCTGGAAATAGCAAAAGATCTGCATGGTATTTGAAGTGATAAAGGGATATTCTAGAGGACAATCACGGATTATAGACCAAATCATTCCTCAAACAACTTCTGCATCCATAATTTTGGCCTGCGAACTCTATGAACACCAATTATAGAAGCGATTGGCTTTGACCTGCACCAATCCAGTGGAATAAATCTGTGGTAAAGTCGCTGACCCATAACTGTCGAGTAATGGTCAGTCATTCGTTAAATGAAAATCTTTGAATTTATTGAAGGTATATCGTTTGCGGTCTAAAGGAAAATTCGCGAACCTTGTCTGCGACCATCATCCAAATTCCTTGGGTAGTTCTTCAGTTCTCTTAATAACGTCTGAGCTCACTTGGCTGTCCATCTTAGACATAAAATTCGGGTCATCCGAATCAACTGAAAAGATCCCATCTTTCGTTGATTCGGTCGAGGTAAAACACCAAGCCATAGATTCGGGAATTCAATAAATCTTACTACAGTATTGAAGACAAGATTCGTTTTGCTTTGAAAACATTTTTGAACAGTTCAGACGACGATTCAGTTGTCTATATACCCATCGAGAAAGTAACGTTCAAACTTAGCCCTATCTAGCTTCTTTGTCGATCTGACGTTCAAGTCGAACGAGATATCTAGATTTCTGATCTTAGCTCTAATCAAGCTAGCCTTTTAGTGAGTAGTATTCTTGACTGAGAGTAAAATATCTAATCAAGCCAGTCTGTCATTTTTTTCGAATGAGAGTCTTTCTAGTTGGTCAAGTGAACCGAATATGCCAACTGGCTTTAACATCATACATTGATTCGCCATCCTTATACATTCCATATCTAGGATTGATATAGGTAAAGATCAAGCACCTCTCATTTTCAAGCCCCAGGCCATGATCTCTGGAATATTAGAAGAAGATCCTCGTTGCGTCACAAAAGTAAACTGCCTCGATCTATCTCTAATAGGTAGAGGCAACAGATTTTCTCAGGTGAATTTAGACGCCGAATAAGTGTATCGAACGTAACAGGGTACTATGTAAGTAGCCTAAGGTAGATAGTTGGTGAAGAAAACTTAGCGGGAATTTGTCAATATTTTTACTTTTAGTAAATCTCGAATATTTCTGTAATTCTTTATGCTTAGCTTTTTCATGGTTATCTGTGTAAAGATTGTTGAATCTATTGTTGTATTGTATTGTCGTGTGATGTTCTCATATCCCGATTTTCGCCCCGAGTAACAACTCTTAAAACTCCATGACCTCTCTTTGTACTGTACCCAACCAATAGATTGAGAGAATCACAAGTAGTTAGCACTTTCAAAGTCCGAATTATCCCTCCGACCTCCCAGAGCGGATTCAGATATTAACTTTGGTAAGCTGAACAGATATATAGTTTCCTTTTCGTCGTCATTTACCTCTTCAAGCGCAAATGGTCTCTGTTTTGTCCTCCAAGCCCACTCACCAATTTCGACATACCTTAGAGAATTTGATTCTTTAGCGAGTATGTGGGCGTATCGGTAGGCGATGTCTCGGGGGTTTTCAACGTAAGGCCAGCGGGACGCTTGTGCCGAGGGCTATGCACGAGATTTGGTTCTCCTACTTTTTAACGAGAGTCGAGTCAATGATGGAACATTGGGTATTTGACACCTAAATTCGTTCTGCAAAAGTAGCTTAGCTTCTAAATGATACGTCTATACAGAAACATCTCATCCTAGCCAGAAAATAAGCTATTCAGATGAATTGGTATCAGATAATTTGAAAGATTTAAATGGGTCAAACAATTTAACCAGCGTGATTGATTCAGGTGGCTTGAATCACTAAATCCAGCCTCAATAATGTGTAGCTTCCGAAAATTGAAAGCTTAAGATCAGCCCTTCAGTCTGGAGT